AGCACGTGTTGATTTTGCTTAAAATTTTGCAATTGGTAACAGCTTTCGGTTGACTGACAACGGCTTATAGTTAGAAAATTGTCCTGAATATGAACGTTGCCAAATTTACGGTTAACAAGTGGTGTTTCAATAGAAATGGCAAAGACTATAGATGGTAAAACGCTAACCAAAATTTCTCTAATCATCCCCACCACTAATGCGATAACGTCACTTCAAAATTGTACATAGTAAATGGGTTTTAAATTGTATAAAATAACATAGCCCTACACATGTAGTTTATGACTCCGAATTGAATTTTTACTCGAAACGTCCAGATTTTTGGAAAAAAAATCAAAATTATAAAATAACATTTTGCAATTTAATTTTGAATCTGCTAATCCGAATACTTTGAAATCTTGCAGATGTTTTAAGGTTATAAAGAGCTTAATAAATTTCTAGTCAAAATATATTTGCTTATCCCCTCCAAAAAATTGATGACGTCAGCTCAAAAGTTTGCCGAATAAATCCTATCTAAAATGTAAAAAATATGATGAGTCTGTACCTGTAATTTATCATTTCGTTCATATTTTTTACAGAGTGACTCAAAAAATTAATGAATGCGTAAATTTATTTTATTGATTTACTCAGGAACTACAAAACCGAATGCTTTGAAGTCTTGAAGATGTTTTAAAGTTGTCAGAAGCATCGTAGACTTTTGATCAAAATGTATTTGCTCATTCCCCCTAAAAATTTATGACGACACCCCAAAATTCTGCTGAATAAATCTATCTAAAATGTACTAAATGTGATGAGTCTCTTCTTGTCATTTATCATTCCATTAATATTTTTTGGATTTGCATATACAGGGTGCCCCAAAAAAGCTAATGAATGCGTGAATTTATTTTATTGAGTTAATCAAGAACTACAAAACCGAATGCTTTGAAATCTTGGAGATGTTTTAAATTTATCATAGGCATGGTAAATTTTTGATCAAAATGTATTTGCTCATCCCCCCTAAAAAATTGATGTCGCCACCCCAAAATTTTGCTGAATAAATCATGTCTAAATTGTACAAAGTATGATGAGTCTGTACTTGTGATTTATCATTCCATTAATATTTTTTGGATTTGCATATACAGAGTGACTAAAAAAAAATATCATTTTATTTCAGGAACGAGGAAAGTTCTGTCGAAACAACTTTCGACCAATTTTTATTTGGTGCATTGATGGTTGTCATTTCACCCATTGGCGAAACTGATAGGTAGCATTTTGATTCTACTGATTTTTACTTCACGAGCGGTAATAGTCTCCACCGGGTGGCAGGTTACCCTCATGTATTCTCGATTTCATCACCCCTAGAATACGAAAAAAGTGAATTCCCGTTTCCGCCTGTACGTCACCTGTGTCGGTTTTTATTACACAGATAATCTCCGAAACTACTGGACATTTCAAATGAAAAGGAGCCACCATAACTTACTTCTCCTTTTTATTTTACAAACTTCCCAAAGGGGTTCAATTTTTTATTTCTATTGGAACACATTTTGCTGTCAAATTTGATATCGTCGCATTTCCCCCTGACTCCCACAGTCCTATCACCAAATTTTGCATTAAAAAATTTTAAATTTTTTTCTTCGTTTGTTGAAAAAAGTGGTCGAAAATTATTTCGACAGAAATTGAGAAGTCCTGGAACTGCAGTACAACACTCCGCTTCACTAAAACATTATAAAATTTGATTTTGCGATGTTTTTTTGTAATAACCTCTATAAAATAAAAACCAGTGGCGTAAAGTACACCGCGCAGGCGTACGTCCAAGTTCCAAGCAAGCCCGGTTCGCATATATGCGGAGAATATGAAATATATTTAAAACAAACAGTCAAGGGGAAAAAGATATTATCACCAGTCTACATGCTTGACTTCGATTTTTTATGTTGATACATCGAAAGAATGTCACTATTAAGCACGCAGCAATTTGTTTGATTTAAATGACTTTGTCTCCTCAAAACAGATAAAATAAAATAATTAATTACGCCACAATGGAGCAAAATGTTCTGAACATAATTATTATTATTATTCCTATTTTGTTAATATAAAAAACAGATAGTCCCAAAGAACAAAGCGGGTTAAACAAAAAACAAATGTTATAATAATCAAAGTACATCCATAAACCACAAGTCCAGGAGTATATTATTTCATAAGATTTAAATAGTGTTAATTACGCAATACAACGAGCCCACGTTATCAAACTGTCGATGCGGAGGATTGGCCACATTTTGGTTAGCGTTTTACTATCTACATGATATTTTTAATATGCATACAAAATTTGATGACATTCGGTCCAGAAATTTTGAAGATTCTGTGTAATAAAAATCGGTTCAGATTTCAAACAGACAGAAATGGGAGACCACTCTTTTCGTACTTCAAGAGGCTATGGAACGTCAAGAAAAGATAAAAATAGCCAGTCGCCAAATGGGCCCTAATACAATACTTACCGAGCGTAACCGAAGGAAGTTGAAATGGATGAAATTATTTCATGTTTGAAATTAAACGAATAGTGTGTATTTGATGCCATAGATGTATGAGACTTGCTATGCTGCTATATTTTCTGCTTCCTGAGCGTAAGTTAAGGAAGTATAGTCATCGAATCCATCGACCGAATTGCCACTTTCATATTTTCTCGACCTGTAGACCTCTAGAGTACGAAAAAAGTGGTCTCCCGTTTTCGTCCGTCTGTCTGTATCCATTTTTATTAGACACGTAATCTCCGAAACTGCTGGACCGATTGTTGTCAAATTTTGTACGTATGTTAGAAATATCATTTAGATGGTTAAATACGAACCAAAATTTGTCTAATCATCCCCATCAACAATTTGATGATGTCATCTCCAAAATTTATAATAAAAAGTTTTTTTTTTATTTTACAAAATAAGATCCTGCTGTACTTGTGTGTGAATCCGTGCCAAATTTTCACCCAAGACATCTAGAATTTTTGGAAAAAATTTAAAACCGAATAATAATATTTTGTAAGATAACTGTGAAACTGCAAAATCGATTGCTCAGAAATCTTGTAAATATTTTAAGGTTACCGTAATCATGGTAAATGGTTAAGCAAAATTTATTCTTTACCCATTCCCAAAAAACTGATGACGTCATCTCAAAATTTTGCCAAACAAATCTTATCCAAAATATACAAAATAGGATGACTCATTAAAACTAATGAATGAGTCAATTTATTTTATTGATTAAGTCGGGAACGGCTCACCCCGTTTCCCCGAAAATTTGAAAGTACAAAACTGTTATCATTAGTGTTACACTGCACCTATCTAAAATAATATACGTGTCTTTGCAAAAATATTGATGACGTCATCACCGATTTTGTTAAGAGAAAACTAATTTGGAAGGTAAGCCCAGCACGTTTCTTTACATTTATTTTACCGTCGCATACATATTTTTATTTTAGCTTATAAAAATATAAAATTCGCATAATCAAATTTTATAATTTGTCGAAAAAGGTGGATTTGTTTTATTGTATTTCAGGGGAGAGGGAAGTTCTGTCGAAATAACTTTGGACCAATTTTTATTTGCTTAAAATTGTCAAGTTGTTAGCAGTATTGTAAACTTGCTAACAAACTCTATACTTATTTGATTTATTAAAAAATATAACCAATTCAAACTTTATATGTTATTCGAACGGTGTAATCAATTATTTTCCTGTTGGTTGTACGAATTGAATTTTTTATATAGATAGTTATAGTTATTTATTAACACAGAATGTGACATAAACATGTATTGATATGAACTTCCGGTGTTCTGATTATCTTCTTAAAACAACCCCAAATACAATTACTGTTGTGTATTAGTGTTTTCACAGGTGGTCAAATATCATAAATTTAGTTTGTGTATTAGAAGAACGCAGTAACTACAATTAAAACATTTTCCCATGCTATATGTTATGATTAAGAAATGCAGATGGTTTGCCACCTACAGCCACATGTTAGTCTTTGTCCGGTGTTAGCAAGTACTTCCCTATTTATTATTTCTTGTGAATATGCAGAGCTCAGTAAATAGCTATTACTCAAACTTTAATATGTAGTCAAGATCGATTTGGGGCAGCAAGCAAGTAAGACAGTCGCAAATGAGGGGAGCTAAAAATGTAGTGTTAATAAAACAACACCGCAATCTCAAAATCAAATGTAGCATGTAGCAAACAGATTATTATTTTTTGTTAACCCCAAAGTTAGTCTGCTGAGCAAACAACTTTGAGTATTTTCCGGAAAAATTGATTTTACTTTACAGAATTTATAGAATGCTTTATCAGTAAATTAGGAGTTTGTTAAACATGGATATTAATACAATTTGAAAGAACATGAATCATTCAAATCAATAATAATAATTTTTCACGAAATTTAATTACCATTTATATTTTTCATGTCAAAAAATAGAGGCAAAACTAAATGAAAAAAATTTCTAAATTTATTTAAACACAACTTTCCTCGCCTTTGAAGCACAATCAATTCTCCATGCATGTTAAAATGTATTCTGATATAAATTACTCTTATTAATTCTTTTGTAAGGATTTTAATTTTATGGAGAGAGAAAGAAAGAGAAACACGTAAGGTTTGAATTCGGTACGATCACGTGGGCTTAACGTTGATTGGTGTTTAACTTGAGAGTTGAGAAAACTACATATTGTAGAAGCATCATATTCGTAGTTGCTATAACTTAAAAGTTATTATACGCAAAAAGTTAACAAATTTGTTATATATACTATATACATAATCATTTTAAATTTTGTTAAGTAACCCTACACGTCAGGATATAATTAATAACTGAATGAAAATAGATTACAAAAAATCGTTAATTTTGCAATAGTGGTATTTTCAATACTGATGAAAATTGAATTCAGATAAAAAAAAGCGTCCCCATATCAGTCCAAAAAATGTTAACTGCATTACTCATCGTAGTCCATTCTCTTATAGAAAATATACATATATCGTTGAAGAGTCTTAGAACAAATAACGAACCTGACATTGCTGGGCTAAAAGCTAACAGAACCGTCCACACTTGCAAAAGTTTGAGAACATTGAAAGGCACTTCACTGCAACCACCACCCATATTTAAACTGCGTTCAGACTCCACCACAATGAAAGTTCATTTTAACATCACAATGCATTCATTATTGTTAAACATCGTTATCCTAGAGATATTAGTTGCAGTGTTTTATCAAGATCATTTCGACTTTCAGACTTCAACAAATCCTCACTCTAAGATGCGGTAGGTTCGCGCTCTGGCGCTTGTCCGGGTTAATTAAACTAATCAAAAATGGAGTCGACAGGGTGTAAACACGATACCTCCGAGGAAGTTGGCGGAAAATCTTTATTATGAAGCAGCGATTTCCGTTTTGGATGCGGGCTAACGCACGTGCGTTTAGCTCAAGCCAGGAACCACCACTGCTTCTATTCTCTGACAGTTCGCCTTGTGTTAGGTTCCAAGGATGAGAATAGCACTCGAAGAATACTTGCTTACCGCATTTAATGCTGCCATTCGTCTTTTCTACCCGCCGATTTATTACAACTAACGCCACGTTTAAGCTCCGCATTACATCTGCGAAGCTCTTAGGGCTATTATTTTTTAACACGAGTAGAAACGGAACGAGGCTAACAAAAATAGGCCACTGGCTACGGATATTAGCATGTTTATGAGTATGTTAATATTTCATTCGGCGTGTATGTATATAGTACAGGTGTGGTTATCATCACCAGGGCAGGACGCTGGAAATATTTTCTTGAATAAATTGCGGAATTTGTATGTTTTATTATGGGACATGGATGGCAATACGAGCTGAATGATATAATAGAAGTAGGTAAATGGATTTTTTAATAGAATTTTATGTGCTCAAAGTGTGTTAGGAGAAAACTGTTTACCTACATATATGGTTGTTTTGTTCATGAATTTTTAATTTCAAGCTTCCTTGGCATACCATAACTCACAACTGGACTATAAAAATACAGATTTTTCGCGTCTGTCTGTTTATTTATCATCTGTCTGTTAAACTTTCTTTTAGATATATTATTCGAAATTTACATACCGACTGTTTAAAATTTGACAATAAATTAACGTTAAGCTAGAATATCTTTATTTATCCCATCACCGGATATACTATAATGACAAACATTTGTCAAATAACCCCATTTGAATGTATTGTTATCTCACTTCCAGCTTGGCAAGCAATATTTATGAAATTTGGCAATTTTTTTCAGACATTACATATGCATGCATTTTTTTACAAACATATAGCAAAATACGAAGAAACTTACTTATAATTCACGAAAGAAAAAACAAAAAATTACAAGGTAATGCAATACTTTTCTAGAAGTAGTATTGGTTATGTTTGAGTAATAATCTTTACATATTTTTTTCTGAACTGCTTATTTGGGATATTTCAGAAATATATACCTTATCTTATGGTCCATTTATTCCCCGAAAATTTTAAGAGCAGAAAAGAGTATTTAGTAAAACTTATTAAGTTTTGAAGTTAATTTGCAGTAATAAAATACACTCGCGAGATTTTCTGTGTAAATAAGTTTACAGATTCTTTTTAGCAGGTGATATACCTCGGCGTTAATTCTTAAGATTTGATTCTTCGTATTTTGACTAGATATAATTAAGCATCTTATTAGTCTGTTTATTGTGTTTATTTTATGTGTTTTAATTATTACTCGAATTGTATTTTTTTAATTACTTATTATAAACACTAACACTCCCGAAAATTGGGACAATTTATAAAAACTGGTTATGCGTGCTGCGCATACGTTTCAAATGAGTTTTTTGTGATGCCGTCATCAACATTTTTGCAAAGACATGTATGTCAGTTTGGATACGTGCAGTGTAATATTAATGATAACAGTATTTTATTCCTAAATTGTCGGGAAAATGGAGTGAGCGGCTTTTGTGAGCCGTGAGTTAATCAATAAAATAAATTGAATTATTCATTAATTTTTATGAGTCACCCTGTATGAGAAATTTAAAAATTTTAATGCAGTAATAAATCACAAGTACAGAGTCACTATTCTTTGCACATTTTGGATAGGATTTATTCGGCAAAATTTTGAGATCACGTCATCGATTTTTTTGAGGGGGATGAACAGATATATTTTAAAAATTGACCATGCTTACAATAAGTTTAAAACATCTGCAAGATTTCAAAGCATTCGGTTGTGCAGTTCTTGCTTTAGTCCGTAAAATAAATTGACTCTTTTATCAAATTTTTGGGTCACTCAATATAAGTAATTTTAAAAGCTATGAGTGTGTTGATAAACCACAAGGATACAGTTATAATATTTTGCATATTTCAGGGAGGATTTATTCGGCAAAGTTTGAGATGACGTCATCAATTTTTTGAGATGAGATGAACGAATAAATTTTGGTTAACGATTTACCATGAATACGATAACCATAAAGTATTTACCAGATTTCAGAGCATTCGGTTTAGTAATTTCAAAGTTAAATTGCAAAAATATTACTGTAGAGTTTTGAAATTTTTCCAAAAATTCTGGATGTCTAGTGAAAATTCGACACGGATTCATACACCCTAAGTGCAGGAGTGTCTTATTTTATAAATTAAAAAAAAACTTATAATGATAAATTTTGGATATGACGTCATTTCATTGTTGGTGGGAATGATTACCCAAGTTTTAGTTAGCGCTTAACCATCTACATGTCGTTCCTAACATACATGCAAAATTTGACAATAATCGGTCCAGTAGTTACGGAGATAACGTGTCTAATAAAACTGAATACACACGCTAGACAAACAGATAGACAAGCAGACGGGAGACCACTTGTTTCGTACTCTAGAGGTCATGACACATCCAAAAAATATAAAAGTGACAATTTGCCTTATGGATTCGATTACTATGTACATATTATATGCGTAACAAGGTTTCAAATCTTTTATCAAAATTTTTATATATACATCTAGCGTGATTTTGTCTAACTTTATTGCAATACAATCCACTTCATTGGTGGATAATTTCACAGTTTTTTGAAATTTTACTCTGTTAGAATATGAAAAATTTGTTGTGTCGTTTCCGTCTACTTGTCGACGGTTTTAATGCTTCGATACCACCCCGTGATTTTTGAAATTTTTGTTCCAGTTAACGATGAAGCTTACGTCAGCCGTTTCAGTTTCACTGCTGACGTAAGCGTCATGGCTAACTACAGCAGAAAGTTAAAAATCACCGCACATTACTCTTGAATGTACTTTAGGAGTTTAACCGAATAGTTTGTTAAACGCTAACAAAAATTTAGACATTTGCTGCAAAATCAAAGATGCTTAGAACAAAATGGATAACATTCAAAATTACTCCAGCATGTTAATAACAAATTTTTTCAAACTTCACGTGTTTATTTTCTTTTTCTGAATCACGTAAAAACATTCACAAGAAAAGTGTATTAATACGTAAAAACTCCCAACACAAAAACAATGAACCCTTAACAAGTATGAAATTGATTGAGATTCGCTGCGGCGATCGACGCGCTATTCTCACCTTTGCGCCAACCAAGCTCATACCACCAAAAGTGTTATAAGCTGCAGATCTTGAAATAACTGAAGTGATTATTATCAACTATAGCTAAGAATCATCCCGAGTTAACCAACTCTGAAACAATAAAAAAGCACTGAAATTGGTTCATCCGTTTGGAAGCTTCGATGCCACAGACAGACAGACAAACTCGTATTATAAACAAACAAAGGGTTCAAAATTATAACATAACGGCCTTCTTTTTATATCGGGGATTAAAAAACCGTACAGAATCGATTCACAACTTGACAGCAGTTTTGGAATTAATTGATATCGGGCATAGAATACCAGAGATTTTTGTTTGTGAACATGATTGGTGAACGTTATAGGATAAAGGGATACATCTTGAAATTTTGCTTTCGTGTTTGCCATTTTTGTGTTAACATTTGCCATTTTATTTGACATATCAGTACCAGTCTATAAAGACAAAGTCAAAGATAACTCGATACAATTATTTTAATCATCCGATATTTCAATGTGTTATTAAAATTTAGTTCGCCAAATCATGTATGAAATCATATATCATATATCATCATCAAATAAACATTGAACATTTAAAATACTCAGTCAACGTATGTTCTGTTGGCTTGTCACCAACGCTGCCACCAGTTGGTCAACAACTAGAGAATACTCTTGAGTGTCCAGGTAGATATCATATCATAGTATGTATGTAGTAGGCTGGAGATTTTAAAAGTTAACATTCTTGTGACCAGATTCATCACAAAACGCCATCATGTCTTATCAATATTTTCACTATCAACGACCCTGCCTGATCGACACAGTACGACAGGCTGTTACACCTGTCTACTCTTTTACCACTACCTGCTTTAAAATTCACCTTCTGCAGCTGAAATATACGTCTTAAATGGAAATTAATAATAATTAAAACTGATCGACTTTGTCGCGTTTAAGTATGTGCTTATGTAGATATAATTCCAGTTTATAACGTTCTATGACATCATCCTACCCCTAACCTCTATTATTCTCGATTTGTCCACGAAATTTTTTGTAAGTATTTTTCTTTCATTTCTTTCTCAATCTCGTACTATATAGTATTGGTATTTCTTTATAGTGTTATATAATCTTCGTAAGTTATCTTTGGATATAATTTGATCCCGCAATATTCCACCGATTCCCTTTCAGACCTGTTGATACCGTGAAAACACAAATTTAGGATGAATACAATACAATGTGAAACTTTACTTAATGGCAAAATGAATAATGTTGTTGTGCCGCACCTAAATGAATTAAAAGATAAAGCTTCTACAAGTACGTCAAATCCAGATTCTGTTAAACCAAATTTTATAATTACCCTTATCGCAGTCGTCTGTTTTAAACATACCAGTAATGCCACTAAATAATCTGTTTGCTTTCTAACTCAAAATAATAAAGATTAAATTCACAGGTGACGTATAATATTAAATTATTGGGCAGACTTCATCCAAGAATATGCCTCTTATTTATATTTTTAAATAAGGTTGATAAGGTTTTATTGTGTTCTTACGTACGTCATCAAAGTAGTAGAGATAATAAAATTCCTTTATGTGAAGTAATTCATGTGAAACCTATAAAGAATTCAACGAAAATATATCATGCTCTAACGCAGATTGTTGTAAATACGTATTACAAAATTATGAAACCTGGTGAGTTGTTGGTAGGTTTGATTATTATTGTTTTGTGTAAGATGTTACTAAACTTCGAAATCACTTTAAATTATTTGATTTACATCATTTTAATGACAAATGAGTGAGGCAACTGTCTTAAAATGTTCATTCTGCAGCAGTTTAAAGAACTCAATTGTTAACAATGCTTATGTTGCATGGGAGATATCCAAATGTACCGTAGATAAAAGTTCCTATGACAAGTTTAAACCTTGATTCTTGGCACCAA